ATACATATATATATATATATATATTTCTTTTTTTGTTAGTGTATGCTGACCATACACTATACCAGGGGTAGGCAACATCTGGCCCTCCAGCTGCTGTGGAACTACAAGTCCCATAAGGCATTGCGAGATTGACAGCCACAGGTATGACTTCCAGAGGCATGATGGGACTTGTAAGTTTCACAACAGCTGAATGGCCTGCCCCTGCACTATATAATCTGATTCTCCAATCTCTTTAAAGCGACCAAATCTATGTAATGTAAAGACAAAACTACTCAATTTGTATATAAAATCAGACAAACTCCTCCACTACATAGTTGATGGTAGATTTAAAAGGAGATTGTACAATCAGACTGTACAGTGGCCAGCCAAATTATTATAATATTTATTATTAATAAATGTAGCAACAAATTAGCTACTGCAAACTTTATAAAAACAGTTCCATTGTGTTTGTGTGACTGAACTATAACACAATTCAACTAACACGCTGGTACAATGAAGAAACCTTTTTGCACATACCAGTATACTGCTTTAGCGTAGTACTCAATATTTTCAGAGAAGTCGCCAACATCATCTTTCGCTATACTTTCTAACCAGTCGACCACCAACTAAAAACAGAAAATACAGTTAAGATTGTTACAATTTCTAAATTTTCTACATATATAAAAGATGGTGTTTGGTGGATACATTTACACAAGTGCTATTAAGGGGAATGTGGGGTTCGGTCGTCTACACTATGCTTGTACACCAGCAGTAAGCCTCCGTCATTTGCCCACCCTTTCTCATACACTGTCTCTTTGTGATTACACAACAGTTTGTTCCACCTAAGCACACTTTCCACTAAAACAATAGCTTTTGGTGCTGGGAGTTAGAACTCATTCTAGTATACCAGGGTCCTGCTACACTCCTTACTGGGTATCCCCGTCAGCATGGGTGCTCGAAGTGGCTCCGGATGGCGCCACTCATAGCAGAATTGACAATATGCGTCAATAAATAGACGCTTGCCTTACTATACTTCAGTGTGCTGGTGACATCTCTAAGAAATAACTAATTCTAGCCCTCTAATCTAATGTAAACACAGATCAAGTGCCCTAGGTGGGGGATCAGGGGAGCTGAACTACTGAGAGAGCCGACTTAAATAGTCCAGTAAAATGTTAAGACCAATTGGTGTCCAGTGCCTGCAGCTACAGAGGTCAGTGCGAGCTTGTATTAAAGCACCTCTAATCTTTGTTAAGAATATTTAATGTCCATAGTCTGGTTACACTTTCATGTGCAGGTTCCAGGGCTATCAACACTACCTAGTAAGTCACTGACGTGAGACAAGCTTGCTGTTTGTAAAGATCAAATCACCCTCTATCCTTCTTGCATGTTAGTGAAAAGAGACCTAAGACAAGTAATGGCAGCTCCCATATTTCTATCCTCATAGGTTTCCTTTAATACAGACAGAAGACACAACCTTCTAAAGCAGGCAAATGTAGTACTACTCAGTGCCAGTTACTTTATTCATCCAATACAATGCAACACAACATTTTGTTTCTTGGGGACCTTTACAAAGCCTTGACAAACAACTGGAGAGTAAAGGTTCCCAATAAACACTGCAACATTCTTCAAGGTTCTTGATTCTAACACTCCTTCACCTGGCTCTGACGAACAAGTGAATCCCGCTCAAACAGCTTGTCCATGATCATCTTTTCACTGGAATTTGGTGCCTGTATATGAGAGAGGAATAAATAACTACAGGTATGATCAAAGAATCCCAGCATTGCATTTTCATGTTAAAAAGCTGAATAATGATATCAGGCTACCCAGCAGTGCTAAGAATAAGAAACCCACAGAACAAGATTTTTTTTATCCTTTAGACTAAGAACTGAACAAGAGAGCACTGTACTTTCAGACAACAGGGATTTGAAAATGTGGTACATTGATAACTTACTGTAATAAAAAACATATGTACATCCTCTGTGGCAGACTGTATCCGATCTCTGGAAAGCACAAATAAAGAAATTGTATTTTTAATTTATCAACCAGTTGAAATACTTGAAGGAAGCTGCATCCAAAAGAAATGTCAGTTTAGTTTGACTGCTGGCAAGTTTTTCAGTATTCCCAGTTCGACCCAAATCCAGCAGCCACTACAAGCAGGCAACTCAATAAAGCTAAACCAGTTTAGAACTATAGAGGATACATGGGGGAGAGTGATACCTTCATAATGGACAGGGGAAATGACACAAATCATGGAGGGAAACTTTCACAATCAAATAATAAGCCATCCAATGAGTCAATTCATCCAAAAATGAAATTATTAATGGGGTACTTGTCCTTAAAGTAACACTAAACTCAGAGTTTAATTTAAAAAATGCCCTCTAGTACCCCATTAACAAAACTGTATCTTATTGATGTATCACTCAGCTGTAGATCCTCAAATCATCTCTGAATTCATGCTGACACTGTCCTTCCTTCTGGATGGCGACTACTTTTGTTCCCCATGGTCCCTGTGTGTGTTGTAAAGTAGCAACCACTCCAAGCTCGATCTTGTCATGGACTACAATCTCACATTTAGTTAGCTAATTTGTATTGAGATTGTAGTCATCACGGGATCAAGCTTGGAGCGGTGGCTTCTTTACAATACACACAGGGACCATGTGTACAAAAGTAGCCACCCTCCAGAAGGAAGGACAGCGTCAGCATGAACTCACATAATTTGAGGATCTACAGCCGAGTGATACACAAATAAGATAAAAATGCATTCAAGTACCTTAATTATTAAGATTTAACTTTTGAGCTTAGTGTCATTTTAAAGTAAACATTTGAAGAGTAAATTCAAATTTCACAGAAAATACTTGCAACAATGATTTGTTGCTGTAAACCCTAAAATTTAGGAGGTTCAACATTACAGAGTCATAACAAGTCAGTTGTAGACCAGTACAGGTATCCCAATGTACATGTCTACAACTGCCTATATTAAAAGTGGGGATTCTGGTTCTGGTCTACATAATGATAACAATATCCTGAAAAGTGTAAGTGATGAAAGACAAACCTGTAAAGTGATGCAATGAGCCTCCAAGTTACCATTTCCTGTCGTAGAAGCCATAACACACTGGCAGTTTTGGAAAACTTCTGTTGTCCTGGAGTGACACGGCTTACAATTTTTTTTAGTAAACCGACCTAAAACAAACAAAAAATATTTTAATGCACTTTAAAAGGACACCAATAAAAAAGGCTGCTGTTCCACTGTAAAGCAGTACAGTAACTGCCCTACTGCTCTTGCTTTTCTTCCAGTATTTTATAAAGGACCGCCATCTCATCTAGTTTCACTGTGCTCACATCTAGTCACTGTTAGCGCATTACAATAATTTGAGATTCCTACCTTAAAACACAAACACACAGCAGATGCTGAATCTTACACACATTAACTTACAGTATCCACTCATTCCCAAAACACCAACTCAACTCGTCCCCCGGCTGAATTACACTTTGGGTTCTATTTATCAACAATTTGCAGAGCCCTACAAATCTCTTAGAGCATTCATTCTGCGCAGAGGAAAAACAAACCTTGCTATATTTTCTTTTCAGGTCAAGTTTAATGCAACACATTATGGCCACTAGATGAAGCTGGGAAGCATAGTTAGTTATACACTTTCCATGCTCCCCAGGTTCTATTAAGGTTTAAATACCTGGTTTAGATCAGTTTATTCTTTGTTCATGTTACCTATTTTAGTTACCAGGTTAGGTAACTCTAAACAGTTCTTGCTCAATGTCCTTAACATCTCTGGTACATCCCCCTGAACACCACGCCACTATTAATTGTGATGGCTTCTAAGAAATATGGCTTCCTCTCTTGGATATTCCACATAAGAGGGCAATGGTTTTCAGATTCAGCAATCCAATGCTAAAGATAATATGCTTACAAGAGGCACACCTAATTAAATATGGTATTAAATGTGTGCAAACATTGGTCCTGCCTTTAACACAATATCTGAAATAGGAGGTGCAGTATCAATACAATATCTAATTAACATGCATTATATCCAGGGCTTGAAAAATCCACTCGAAAGCTCGTCTGTGACGAGAGGACGGTGGAGCCCAACGAGCAGCTTCCCGGCCGGTCATTGTAATTACACGGCCGGCCGGGAGCTTTACATTCAAGCGACTGGGTGTCTCTAGAGACGCTCGATCGCTTGTATTAGCAGCTGTCACTGCCGTTGCCGGTCCCGAGATCCACTGTGCCCGATGCGGCCGGGACCGGCACGGCTCTGTGACAGGAGATCAAAGGGAGTTCATTATACGAACTCCCTTTGATCTCCTCTCAGTCCCCGAATGCAGGAAGTGATGTATATTACATCACTTCCTGCATTCAGTGTCACTCTCCAGCTCCAGAAGTTGATTAAGCAGCTCTGTGCTTCATCAGCTTCTCTGGGGGTCCCTAGGTGACATTAGTGGTCTTGGAGACCCCTGATGTCTCCATAAAGAGGACCTGTCATGTAAATTGGCTATCACATAGGGGACTTCTTATCCCCCCATGTAATAGCAATAAAGTTGTGTGTAAAAAAAAAAAGGAAGAAGTAATACAAAAATTAAAAGGAGAACTATGGGGTTAGGGCTTTTCCCCATAGTTCTCCTAAGGGTAACGGGAGGACACAAACTAGCGTCCTCCCGTCACCCAAAGCTCAGTATCTTGCGGCATACTGAGACGCCTCAGCTGAAACGCATCCCGACAATTATGTCTGGATCCACCCAGCTGCGTGAGTGACAGCTGGCTCTGTCAGCGCTGGAGGATCGGACAGGGGAGGAGGGAATCCAGTCCCTCCCCTGTCACGGCTCTGCAGTGACAGGATCTAGAAGTGAGCGAACGCCGATCTACTGAGCCGACCTGTGACAGTTTCATTGTCACAGGTCGGCTAGAACTATGAGGATGAGTGAAAATCACTCATCTCATAGTTCTCCTTTAAAGAATCATAAAAAAAATAAAAGCATTAAAAAAAAAAAAAAGATTTTTAACCACTTAAAGGCCATAGTGTTTCACCCCCTTCCTGGCCAGGCCATTTTTCAGTATTCAGTGCTGCGGTACTTTGACTGATGTTTATTCCATGCAACACTTTACTGAAACGATTTTCATACCATTTTTTGAAAAATTTCACATAAATTGCAAGGCTATAGTCCGGTCATGCTGACTGGTTACATTTTTGACTGACTGGTGAGACACCATCAAATTTTTCAAGCCCTGATTATATCCAATCACTTCCCTCTCTTGCTATTCCTCAATCTCCTTAAAAGGAGAACTATGGGGGTCAGTGTTTTCCCCCATTGTTCTCCTAAGGGTCACGGGAGGACATAAACGAGCGTCCTCCCATTACCCAAGGCTCAGTATACCGTGAGCTACAGCTTGCGGTATACTGAGACGCCGCAGCCGGGACGGATCCCGACGAGATCCACCCAGCTGCGTGAGTGACAGCTGGCTCTGCCTACTTAGAGGCAGAGCCAGCAGTACCCGCCACCTTCCCCATCCGTTCCACCAGTCAGCGCTAGAGGATCGGACAGGGGAGGGGGGAGAATCCCTGCAGGGAGCCGTGAGTGACAGTCACGGCTCTCTGCAGGGACAGGATCAAGAAGTGAGCGAGCGACGGTATGTGTTCGCTCACTTCCCGATCTATTGAGCCGACCTGTGACAGTTTCATTGTCACAGGTCGGCTCGAACTATGAGGTTTAGTGAAAAATCACTCATCTCATAGTTCTCCTTTAAGCTAAAATGGAAAGTGCATCCCTTTTGGCTTGGCCTTATGGGTCCTAATGTTCATAACCCTGATCAAATCTATTTCTTGAAAAGCACACTGATGTCCCCAATAACAATCTTTTTGCCATTTTTAAGAGGCTCTCTTAAATTAATTATTTCCTTCAACAAACAGTCTGCTCAACAGGTAGATAAAGACCTAAGGCATGTGACCAGGCAGATGCTACTTTCGTCTCAGACCCTACCGAGTTAAATTGTGCTAAATGGGAGACTTCCACTCAAATATCGAATACCAGGTTACATGAGGATGGGAAACAAAAACTTTCCTTTACTAAACATAGTTTGGATGTGGTAACCACTCCAGCAAACTACTGGCATATATAGCAAAGCAACCACCTGCTATCTCTATTGTTAGTACCCAGGGTGTGAATGACTCTCAGATGCTGAAGGCAATTTGAACCGTTTGTAAATTCTACCAGTATTTGTACACATCCGCACTTACTAAATCCCACTGGCACATATAAATATATCTGGGTGCCTTATCCTTCCCACAATTATCTACGTCTCAGGTCCAAATGTTAGACAGAGATATTACAGGGGATAAAATCAAACAGACGATCTTGTCCCTTGCCTCAGGCCCAGACAATAAACAATAGCTAGATTCCATTTCACCTACCCCTGGAATTGGTATATATAAAGGCCATTATATAAAAGGCCTTATGTATGATGGCACTATTATTAGTTTGCCGATAAGGATCCAAATCAAGTGTATCTCTTATAGACCTATATCTCTGTTAAATACTGGCTGTATGTCTGGTGAACCCACCGCAAATCTACGCAGAGCTCAGGGGGTTGTCTAGCTCTAGGGACAAATCCCCACATCATGTGTCTTGGCCTCTTTGAATACAGCAAAGGCTTTTGATTCTAAAAAATGGTCAATTTTGCAAGCCTGTCTTGCCGCCTTCGGTTTGAGTCCAAAATTGCAGAAATAGATCAATATCCTTTACACTTGCCCAAATTGTAATATTATGGTCAATTATTTACTTCATCTTTTCCCATTTATCGAGGCACAAGGCAAGGCTGCCCCTTATCTCCACTTCTATTTGCTATGGCAATATAACCCCTTGCCTTTAATATCTGACAAATGGAGACTATTAGCAGGAAAAAACAAAACAAAAAAACAAAAACACCCAACACAACGCATTGTGCTATATGCTGCCTCCTTAAGTTCCATTAAATGAGAACTATGAGGTGAGTGATTTTCACTCAGTCTCATAATCTGAGCCGACCTGTGACAATGAAACTGTCACAGTTCGGCTCAGTAGATCGGGAAGTGAGCGAACGCATACCGTCGCTCGCTCACTTCTCGATCTATCCCCGCAGAGAGCTGTGACTGTCACTCACAGCTCCCTGCAGGGATCCCCCCCCCTCCCAGTGCTGACTGGCGGAACGGGAGGGTACAGCTGGCTCTGCCTCTAGATAGGCAGAGCCAGCTGTCACTCACGCAGCTGGGTGGATCCAGACAGAATTGTCGGGATTTGTTCCGGCGTCTCAGTATGTCCTCCCGTTACCCTTAGGAAAACTATGGGGAAAAGCCCTAACCCCATAGTTCTCCTTTAAAGTTGGGATCTGTGGAGTGAATTAGCCCTAACTGTGATTTCAAGATGAACTGCCCTGAACAGGACCTTCAGATACATCTTACGTTTTTTAATGGCCCTCTACATTCATTTATTATGATTACCATGCCTGTAACAATAACTCAACAGAGTCTGTCGATGGTTATATTCCTTTATGTTTGCTCTATGGTATTACTCATAGTTTATTTGCACTGACATACATTGAACTCATGTACACTTGGGATTTTGTACAAGAGTACAAACGTTCAATAAACAGAGTTACAAAAAAAAGTCCTAAATATGTATACCGTAAGTAAATTTACCTCCCGCAACACTTAAAATTACCTGTTCGCAGCACATAGTCTCATACTCTTCTATAAGCTCAAACACTGAACTGGAAGGAAGCTTCAAGAATGAATTAAGAAATTCCTGATACAGGCTCATTGTGGCTACAAATAAATGGATAAAAGAGCAAGTATGAGATGTAAGACAGCAAAACACATATGTGTTGTACCAGTGTTGTCACTTACCAGCTTCTCCTGGATCTTCCTCTTTCATCATAACTGCACTAAGTGTTATGTCTTCAGTAAAACTAGGACTATCAAATGTATTATACATTCCTGTCCGCTGAGGGGAGAAGGAGGCTGTGTACACACTGTCTTCCATGTTGGACAGCTGCAACCAAATAAAAGTTCTAAGTAAAAAAGCCAAAAAGTATTCATATTCCAAAACTGTTAATGAAGCATTGTAGCAAATTTGACACCCATCACATTTTTATAACTAGAATAGTGAGACAGTAACCAGGCACAGGGAAGCAGATGCCGTCCCGAGTTCCAGTTTAACATGATCTTTAATTTACTAAAATGGATAGTCAACCTACCATGGAAATGTCCCGCAAACGGCTTGGAGTCTGTACTAATCGAGGCGATCTCCCTGCTGACCCCATTATTGCAGAAATATCTGGTGGCCTTGATGAATTCCATGGCTGTGGAGTCACTGAATAAAAAGACAAATCAAAAAATGCATTTAGAAAGATATATAGTATATACCTCAAGCCTGGACAGGTGGGTTTAATAATCCGATTAAGAAAGGTGAATGCAGAGAGCCGTGACAGGATCGAGAGGTGAGCAAACGCCGGTACGTGTTCGCTCACCTCCCGATCTACTGAGCCGACATGTGACAGTCTCATTGTCACAGGTCGGCTAGAACTATGGAGGTGAGTGAAAAGCACTCGCCTTATAGTTCTCCTTTAAGAAAGACAAGGATACGCTCTATGGTTGCACTTTACTGCATAAGCTCTACTGAGGTGAATCTTACTCTGATGCCGCAAGAGGGATCCAGGAGTCCTAAGAACAGTCTTTGGATTGGAACCAGTCCAGTTCTCATCTGCTGTGTTTAAACTAAGGAAAAAAAAAAATCTACATCAAAGTATTTTATTCTTTAAAAGAGCAACTACAGGCAAATAAGCAAAATGTTTTTTAGCTCACTTATTTTTCCATGAACACTTTAATAACCTCAGCTAATGTAAGGAAGTAAAATCTGTTTTTATATCAACTTAGCACATACTGTTAATATTTCCACTTTTGCTAAATAATGATCTTAACTTTCTCTTGTGTCCACAGATTAACCCTTTCCCTGCCACCGATGTGGGGCATATGGCAGAACTGTTTCCAGCTGGTCAGCTCAGTATGCCTTACTTCGCTGGATTTTACCCTTCTGCTATAAGCTCATGGTCGCTTCAACCACCATGAACTTATAACAGAAGGAATATCAGCCATCAGCAGCTGACAAGCTGCTGATGACAGCTATTAAACAGGAGAATAGCTTTCTCCTCCCCGCTGACAGCCGGCTCCATGCTCCGAGCTGTGCACTTTCCGATCACCCCTGCTCTCCCCCACTTGTATCAGCAGAGGCAGTGAGGTTTAGAAGGGACACAGAGCTGCAGCCGGCAATGGGACGGAAGAGAGAACAGTGGCAGGATGCCGAGTGGGGATGAGAAAGAGAGCCGTGTGTCAGGATGGAGACCAGGGTGGTGCCGACCGGAGCTTCAGGATGTGAATATTTGCTGATTGTTCGGTGTGCAGACCAAACACATTTGTAAATACCTGAGCACATAGTAAGCTATGTCCCCAGTGATGAATGAACAGGACGTGCTTACATCACTTCCTGTTCATTCATAAGTGGGAACATAGTGAGCTCACTATATGTTCAGTTTATGAATAGAGAGGAGCAGTACAGAGGCTTACTGCCCATTCATAAGTGGGGAGAGTACTATGCCTCCTCAGTTTGTGAATGAACAGAAAGCCTCTGTACCAACTGCTTTCTGTTCATTCAGAACAGGGGTTGCAGAAAAAGAGATTGAGGACTCAATCTGTTTTCCTATTTCAAAAGGGAAATCTCAGGAGTCTGTTTAGACCCCTAATATTTGCCTGAAGCCCCCCCCCTAACAAACGGCACTGCAGATCAGGCATTTGAAAATAAATTTAAAAAAAGAAAAATTGCAAAAATGGAACACAGGGCTTGGCAGTGAAAGGGTTAAAGCAAATCTTTCCTAGCAAACCACAGGGAATGGGACTTTCAAATAGTTTGAGATATGTAACTTTTTTATTTATTCCATCATCATAAACTGCCGGGCAAAAAAAAAAAAATCACACACTTCAATTTCCGCCTTTAGCTTTGATTACTGCACACATGCAATGTGGCATCATTTTGATAAGCTTATGCAGTGTCACAATATATATTTCCAACCAGAGTTGCATTCATTTTTTCAGCAATATCTCGTAGTGATGATGGGAGAGTCAGACCTCTGTGCAAAGTGTCTCCAGCACATCCCAAAGATTCTAAATGGGGTTAAGGTCTGGACTCTGTGGTGGCCAGTCCATGTCTGAAAATGGTGTCTCATGCTCCCTGAACCACCCTTTCACAATTTGAGCCCAATGAATCCTGACACTGTCATCTTGCAATATGCCATCAGGGAAGAACAAGATCCATTGATGGTAAAACCTGGTCATTCAGTATATTCAGGTAGGCACCTGACCTAATTTGTTGCCAGATGAAACATATTAATCACTGAACTATCCGCTGGAAGGCTCTCAAGGTGCCCATACACCTTACAATTATCGGACGAAACTTTTCGTCCAATGATCGAACCGCGTACTATTTTCGTACGACGGCCCCATCTTGCCCCGATTATCGCAAGGTCCAATTAGCGGTAGTTAGAAAAAAACACCTGGACGACTTGCGGTAATTGACCGCAATTATTTTCGTTTCGCATGCGCAGTGTTAATCGTACGACTTTTGACGGACGGAAACGCCACCAACCATGCGAACATCGTACGATCAACCAAAGTTTTCAAACATGCTTGACCGTCAAAAGTCGTACGGTTGTACAGTACTATCGGTCGGGCACTCTATTCACACGTTACGATTGTCGTACGAAAAGTCGATCGCATACGATTATCGTACGATAATCGTAAGGTGTATGGGCACCTTTACCCATTTGATAGCTTAATCCAGGTGGTGATTTTCTTGGCCAGGCAGTGCATATTTGTGGTTTACTAGGATTCTATGAACTTAGGGATGTGGTATTTTAGACTAAAAGAGGGAAAGGGAAGTCATTTTTATGTAAAGGAAACCGGTCATAAGAAAAATACATAGGTTACCACTGTTTGCCTTTCCTTCTGGACATGCTAGTTGCTGGTCATGCTGACTCTCAGGCTTTAATAGTCTGAAAGTGACACTGAACAAGCATGCTAATCAAGAGTTCTGCCTTCACTTGCTGTATACCTTCTTCCGGACCAGTGACTTAAGTAAGGACGTCAGAGAACTAGCATTTTCAGGAGTAGGTATAGTAGAATAAGAGATCAGATAGGATCATTCATATTGGGAGCCCTCTGATGGTTAGGGGGTGGAGGGCTCATACAGAATAAAGAAAACTGGCATTTCTCTGATGATGAGGGGGGGTGGTTTGTGTCCGACAGAATAAAGGATACTGGGAGCTTTCGGATGTGAACTTTGTCGTCTGGCTGTTCTGGAAATCTCTGACTCCCGAATGACAGGTGAAGACATATCCACATGTCCCCTTCTGTAAACAAAAGATGGAAAAAAAAAAGTAAAGTGTAAAAGTTGCAACCAATGTCACAACCCTGAGCAATTTACAATAACAAAAATGCACAAGCAGTTAAATTAAATTAAATGTAAATCATGGCTGTAAAAGTTGACTTCTAACCACTGCAAGAGAACTCGGTGTACTGAACTCCCTGAAGTCAAATTAGGCATTCCCCTCAGCAAGTGTATCATTTTTTGTGGGGATTATTTCCAAAAAACAAGTTTTGCCCATTTGCACTGAAAAACAAAATAATTAATAATGAAGTGTGTGCAATGAGTGGCATCTCCTTTACAGCTCACCCGTTCCAAAACATTTTGTAATATTTTCAATGAATGCAAGGTATTCTGTGATTGGAGGAGGGGAGACTGTGATGCTCACCCACACTTCCCCCAATAACAGAACATCAGTGCTGACTGCACTTTACAGGAGGCAATTAAATTAATTCTGGCCATACCAAGACAAAAGATTCCCACATCCATGCTAAACAGTGCGGATGGGGGAAAGTCTATTGTGTTTTGACAATGGCACGCCTGTCGTCAGCTGAGAATTTTCAGACTGGCTCGTTCATCAAAAGTCAATTTCTCTGAGACTTTTGTTGAACAGGGGTGGGGTGGTTTGGGTCCTTAGGAGGCCAATATGGCCAGCGTACGAGCATAACAACGCAGCAGCGACCACACATTGCACATATATCAGTCAGTGATCACTTATTTCTGCAGTGCAAATGGCCAAAATTGTTTTTGGGTGGAATTCAACTTTCAATAGCTTATAGCCAATAATGCAAGACGCCAGGCAGAGCGTCCCAGGTGGCTGGGAGGCCTTTACACATCTCCCCACCCCATGTAACCCACAGAGATGCCCTGAGGACCTGTCATACAAATAAATGGTTGAATAGGGTGACTGTCATCTTTTACCCATAGGAAAGTCAGCCTTGTAAACAATGCCTTCACCACCACAAACACGTCAACATGTTAGATTCTAAATAGAAAATGATACAGTAATTGTTACCCTGACTCAGCAACCTATAAATGAATGTATGTATGCCTTATACTATTACTCCTCGTGATAGGTTCCTTGACTGGAGCATAGAGCTCCTGAATTCCAGCTTGACTTGTACAGGGCCCAGCTCTACATGATAGAGTACAATAACACGTGACTGCAGAGTGTCCATAGAGAGGAATGAATGGCGCATTCTGTCTATACAGGGCAAGTCACGCTCCGTCCCCCACGACAGCCTACACATTGCACATAGAAGAACAGTGGCACCACAACGCCCAGCTCACCTGTCCATGTTGGTACGCACACACTTCCCGCCCGCCGTACATTGACTGGTTCGCACACCAGCCAATGACAAACGCCGACCCCGGAAACTATCAGAGGCTGAATGTCACGCTTCCGGCGTACCCTCTATTTCGCCATCTTTGTTAATGGAATGTTGCCACCACCAAGCTGTTCTGAAATGTTTGAGTACACAGTTGTAGGCTGCGGTGCCGAGAACACATGTATTGAAGGAAAACATAGCTGATGACATTTAATTTGCTAAAGCACTTTGAGGGGAAATTATCCCTTCCTGGAGCAGACAGAATCTGAAGCACCTGCCTATGGCAACCATTCAGCTTCTAGCTTTCATTTTCAAAGCTTAAAGGGACATTAAAGTCAACATTTTCTTCCCTCCTCCTTCTTTCCTGATGTTTTCATCTGTCCCTCCAGCGGTGGCGGCGGCTCTCAAATCCAGCGCTGACTCCTTTGTCCTTGCTGGTACTTCCTGTCCCAAGGTGTCTGCATGCGGGTGCACGCGTCCATAGACTTACCTTGCGTCTCTCCTCGTCTCCCGTCCGAAAATCCGAACTGCCCATGTGCCCGCCCCAAGATGCTTTGCGGCCGCCCGAGCAGTTTCGGATTTTCTGACGGGAGCACGCAGCGAAGACGTGGTAAGTTTAAACTGCTGTTCAAGCGGGTTTTTTTTTAAAAACAAAAAAAAACTTTTTGCATATATCTACTGCTTGCTAGCAGTAGATATATGCAAAAGAAAAAGGAGGCTTTAGAAACCCTTTAATTGAACAAACTGAAGAGAGAAGCTGGTTATTATGGAGAACTGCTCCAGATTCTGTCTGCTCCAGTTGTTACCTGTTTTTGTACTCATTATAAAGAAATTATACAGCTACAACATTTGGCACAGCGCTTTACAACAAACAAAAAAAAAGAAAAGATGGTAGTTACAATTTAATTTAATACAATTTGAGTATCTCACTGATGCTGTTCTCTTCCAGCTTTTTACACTCACTTCCTGTCTACATCATTTTCTTTGGTCCAGGTTCTTGATGGTGACAACAGTAAGCCGTATCATGTGTCTCAGCACAACTGCTTGTTGTTACCTCTATGAGGCTTGCCTGAAACAATGTGACAGCAAAGAGGAAACATGGCACCCTATTACAGGAAGTGCCTGTACAAGAACCCTCATGGCAGGATCTCCAGCTATTATTGTAATGAAAACTAGTCATTCATAGTCACATCGTATTTAAGGTTGGAAAAAGACTCCAGCCAATTCAGACCAATCTATGTACCACCCATGAATGCAATACTGACTGGCCGGGGTTATTTGGCACATGTGCAGCCACCGATGAATGACTTATTCAATGCCGTCATGCACCCTTGGTTGCTGGGATGCAGGCGACTTGAGCCATTTATTGCCCTTCATTGCTGGGATGCAGGTGGCTCCAGCCGCCTGTCTAGTGCCCTTCATTGCTGGGATGCAGGTGGCTCCAGCCATCTGTCTAGTGCCCTTCATTGCTGGGATGCAGGTGGCTCCAGTGGTCTGTCTAGTGCCCTTCATTGCTGGGATGCAGGTGGCTCGAGCCGTCTGTCTAGTACTGTTCATTGCTGGGATGAAGGTGGCTCCAGTCGCCTGTCTAGTGCTCTTCATTGCTGGGATGCAGGTGGCTCCAGCCGTCTGTCTAGTACTCTTCATTGCTGGGATGCAGGTGGCTCCAGTCGCCTGTCTAGTGCTCTTCATTGCTGGGATGCAGGTGGCTCCAGCCGTCTGTCTAGTGCCCTTCATTGCTGGGATGCTGGTGGCTCCAGTCGCCTGTCTAGTGCCCTTCATTGCTGGGATGCAGGTGGCTCCAGCCGTCTGTCTAGTGCCCTTCATTGCTGGGATGCAGGTGGCTCCACTATAGAGCACATTTATGCTATACTCTATACATATGTAAACTTTTGTGTAACGCAAAAAACAGGGAGATTTATGACAATGAAATCAGCTGTGTACTTTTTTTTTGTGCATCTGAAGGCAGCTCCAGATGTGTCTGGGCCCACAGCATATCATACAACTGTGTTCAGATCCATAAAAATGTATGCTTTCCAGATCTGAATGCAGCGTCTTTTGTGCCCCTGTGCTTTAACCCTAACAGAGCTGTCAAATCTCTGGGGAAACTCAGAAGTTCTCTCTTGGCTGCTGTTTCAGGTCTTCAGCATTGACATTGCTGTATTTCCCCCAACATCACTATTATTAGTGTATGTGCTTTGCTAAAAATCTTTCATCATTTACAAGCTCTCAGCCAGAGCCCCCCAAATAGAGTTCATTAAAGGGCCCGCATACCTTCAGACTCTTCCTTTGGTCCTCGGTTGGTGGCACTTGCTCCCTTATCACTCTCCTAATTAGATGACAACTGTAGCCAGTAAGGTACCACTTACCTTAAAGTCCATTTCCACCTTTGTAAGTGATTTGCATTTATTGTGGTAATGTAGAGGGGCAGTGATGATGTATACATGTGCACATTTTCATGACTCAAATTGCAGGCTTTCTTCATTTTTTATGATTTTTTCTATTAGGCCTGAATACTAGACACTCAAAATGTTCTCCACAGGATATATATTGTATATTGTAATATACACAGATTGCTTGCAAAACAAAGAGGAGGCCATTTCCATGAGGATATGAGGAAGAAAGCTAAAAAAAAAGTACGTTTCTGTGTTCATATACAGCAACTACATATGCCAGCTTAATGTTCACTTGGTGTACATTGCTGGCGTATGTTTTAAATGGGCTTTAAGGCGTATTTTACCCCAAAACGTATTTCATATGTATATATATGTATCTTTAATTATATGTTGTGTAAGGTGAATCTTGCCTGTTCCTTATAGACTGCATCAATTCTTACCAAATATTTGGTGATACTGCCAGTTCCTCTTCCTTTTTTTTTTCAATCTTCCCAAGCCCGGCACGGAAGCAAAGCAATGCTGGTGTGGTCAGGTTGTAGATCTCTGCTTCCTCTTTTGAGAAACAGGACGCTGTACCGATGTACAGCAACAGCATGACTGCATCTCTCGTAGTCAGATTAACTGGCACGCTACCTGCTCTGCATGGGGGGGGCCTGCAAGCTAATCTGTCCATTGACAACAGATAACGTGTAGGGGTGTGGCAGCTCATTTGATTATTGACAGCGGCTCACAGCAAGAGCCTCACTGTCAGAACATCAGCAGAATCAGCTATCCTGAACACAACGTACACAGCAGGAATGTACTTTGCTGCTGTGTGTGACGAAAGGACGTCCCCACGGTTTTGTAAAGTGTATGCAGTCACTGTTCGGATATTCAGGGGGCCATGGGTGCTCAGTGGTTGTCTAAATACATTATCTGGCAGTGCAGAATTCTCAGTCCATGCTGTTATCACAGATGGGGAATTAAGTGATTTCTCTTGTTTAGCTTGCGAAGCTGGATGAGAAAAATCTGTATGTGACTAGAGGATATAGCGCATTATTAACCCAGTACCTCCAGCACCTCGGCGCCACTAAGGTGCTTTTGAACAACTGGTATGCCGCCTACGTCATGGCTGCACTGCCTGGCTCGGGGAACCTCCTCTTGGTTGGCTGTGACCACCTGTTGTGCTGCTCCTGCATGCAACTGTTCCTCTGAGCCACTGCTGCAGGTACCAGGCAGGGCCAACCTCAGGATGGGAGTTTCCCAAAATGTAAGGCAATAGATTTAATGAAGGCCCACATTGTTAGTAAAAAAAAAAAAAAGATCATAATGCAATATCTGTGCTTTTCCTAAATTGTATGACGATTATTTTAATAGTCTGCCAGCTAATAGCCGAGCTGCAATATTATATGTTTGAAAGCCTAGCAAATATGTTTTAAGGCAGTTCAGATATCAATAAGCAGGAAGTTGCTTAAAATAATCATCTTGTAATGTATGTAAGTAAAACACATAGAAGGGAATTGATCAAAACTGGAGCAGACAAAATCAGGAGCAGCTGTGCATTGCAAGCCATCAGCTTCTCTCTTTCATTTTCAAATCTTAACTAAACAAACTGAAGAGAGAAGCTGATTGGTTCCCATGCACAGTTGCTCCAGATTTTCCCTGCTCCAGTTTTGATAAATTCCCGCCCTACTGTATATAAGAACAGCTGATTTCTAACTAAAGAACTTATCAGTCCATTTTTTTAAAATAGAATTTTGAATCCCAATGTAAGATTTATTTGGCTGATAACGACTTCCAGGAGCTGAACTGTTACCAGATCTCCATGAAACGGCTGTTTTCTGTAAAACACGTATTAAATTATGATTACTGTATTATTTTCTGTCCCTTTTTTTTTTTTCAAATATGTTCATGTCTAGTAAGCCAAGCACCCTAATCAAATTTGCTACACGCATATTTATTCACTGCACACAAATGTTGCTTCCTTACCCTTATCAATATTTGCCCGGGTTGACAAATCTTTTCGGAAGGAAATACCCGGTGCTTTTGCTCCTTCCAGCATCGGGAACAAAAGGAAATACCCGGTGCTTTTGCTCCATTCAGCACCGGAAACGGAAAGAAATACCTGGTGCTTTTGCTCCATCCAGCACTGGGAACGGAAGGAAATATCTGGTGCTTTTGCTCCATCCAGTACTGGGAACGGAAGGAAATACCCCGTGCTTTTACATAGTATTTGAGGTTGAATAAAGACATTAGTCCATCAAGTCCAACCTATTAGGATCTCATTCTAGGAGTACCTGTACCCATGTATATTACGGTCCCTTAAGAAATCGTCCAAAAGTTTCTTGAACAATTCCACATTATTTGCTGAAATCAGCACCTGTGGCAGTGAGTTCCAGACCCTAACTGATCTTACTGTGAAGAACACCGTGCTTTTGCTCCATTCAGCACTGGGAACGGAAGGAAACACCTGGTGCTTTTGCTCCATCCAGCACTGGGAACGGAAGGAAATACCTGGTGCTTTTGCTCCATCCAGCACTGGGAAAGGAAGGAAATACCTGGTGCTTTTGCTCCATCCAGCACTGGAAACGGAAGGAAATACCTGGTACTTTTGCTCCATCCAGCACTGGGAACTGAAGGAAATACCTGGTA